GTTGAAGGTCATATTAAATGAGGAAAATTCTCGGTATATTTTTTGTGGTCCCAGTTCTGTATATTATAAAAACAGATGTGTATAAACTGTTGTATTCCTTTTTGTGACTTACCTTGATAAAAGTGGCTCCCCCTACGAACGTTTGTGCTTATTATTTTTTCTCTCGTGAGCTTTTTTTTTTTCCTTAGCAACAATGATTAGTTTAACATAATTGTGTTGTACATACAACAACCTTCTTGTCATCAAATCAATGTAGAGTGAGAGGCTGCAGCAGATCTGTGTTTGTCATACATGGAGCTGGATTTCTGGTCAAATTATTTATGTCGAGCACAGCAAGTTATTACCAAGCTGTTATTGATTGGATTCTCCTCATGCTGTCATGTAAATTCTAGAAGCTTCAAAGAAAAGAAAAAAAACCACAGTAAACCATAATTATGCTTCAGAATAAAAACAAATATGGACAAATCAGAAGTGTTCCTTTTTTTTCTTTTGTCTTTTAATCAGACATTTAGACTAAAAAGAAGAGCTTTGATACAGAAAAAAGCTGATGGCGATATGATCGCTGGGCCCAGTTTGAGGATAGAATAAAAGGAGTGCTAAATCTCTCGGGTTCTGTTTGAGCACAGTTTTACTTCAACCGGTGCCCGAAGAGCACTTGACTTGGCTGAGGTGAGATTGCCGCCAGGCAAAAGTCTTCAGGGCCCGCTTGTCCTTCTGATAGCCAGCCATGATAGATCAGCCAGTGTCCAGCCAGGATTGCTCTCCTTCCCCCATTTCTATCTCACACTTCCTTTTTTCACTACTGCTTTGGTCCTCTTTGGTCCTCTTTCTTGCTTATCTCCCTCCTCTCTGCCCCATATCTTCTCTTCTCTTTTATCCCCCATTTCTCTATCTCTTGCCATTTTTTTCCTCCTTCTCTCTCTCCCCCCTCTTTGTCTGCTGTGTCGTCTGATTGAGGGTGAGTTACGAGGGGGCTGCAGCTGGAGGGGACCGCCGTGCCTCGTAATTACATCTCTTTTTATTACTCGCGCTAATGGCCCTCGGGGAGAAAGAAACAATAATAAATTAATAGAATATGAACTCCAGCTCAACAGAAATCTCCAGCATTTCATTCTGGACCGTCCTGTTCTCCGGCAGATGAAACAGCGCTCTGATTAATCTCCGCTCGGGGTTTGAAACGGCCGTCTGTGAGTTTGGGCTGCCCCCTCCTGCTCACAGCTGAAGGCTTTTGGGAAGATGAAGAGAGAGATTATGTTTTTCTTATTCTTGTTTTAGTGCAGGGCTTAATTATTTTAGCTCAATTTATTATATCCTTTTTTTCATGAATGACAATGTGATCTGTGGAAGAAGGTGCTCTGGTCAAATGAGACCAGCGTTTAACTTTTTGGGATATGTGCAAAATGTTTGATCACACTGACCGTTCCAACGTCTCAGTACAACATGGAGGTGGCAGCATCATGCTGTGTGGGGTGCTTTTCTTCAGCAGAAAGAAATCAGATTCGATTAGGCGATGGATGGAGGTTTAACAATGACCTCTAGAGATTATTTGTGTTTGTGTGTGTATTTTAGATTCAAACTGTTTTGTAGTATTTACACATAATTATTTAAATCTCCTCCAATAATGAATTTAATATAGCAGAAAATCGATAATTGTTAAAACCTTATTTGATTGATCTGCTCAAATCTAATGTGAACAAAGAAAAATGTTCCGTAATTATTGCTGCGAAGCCTCCCAGACAGAAACCTGCTGGTGCGTTCAACTGTGGAGCGGAAAAGGCCCTTCAAGTGCACAGGCAGGCTCCTCTGATTTGGTCAATATTGTGTCATGTTTGGTCAAACCCCGCCAAGGCAGTGGGCTGGAAATGAAGATGTAAATATTGATATTTCATTAGGGAAAATCACCCACTCCGACGGCACTTAACCGGGCCACCTTCAGAGTGTGGCGGCCGGAGCGCGGCGTGACCTGTGGAGTCGGGAAGTCACTTCATTACTCGATTAAATTGAGTGGAAAAAGGCGAGGCAACGACACAAGATCCCATTTGGAGCGATAATTTAGGCTTTGAGGAGAGGGGATGGAGCGGGGAAAAACACTACCTCTCCATCTCACAACACTGGATTAAATTCAAGGACTTTTAGCGTCAAAGGTAATTACAGGCTGCTGGGATGCAAGTTTGCATATGGCTGAGAGGTGTCGGTTGTATCAGAACAACTCTAAAGCCACTCCAGCAAGCCCTGAACAGGGCCGTCATGCGAGCTGTCATCGCGGGAGCAGCGCTTTAGTTCCGCTTCAGTCCTCCTTGGCATTAAAAGGCTACACAAAGCCTCGTCTGTGATTGTGATGCCAACCTGATGCGGCAATCAGCACCACGTCCGTGCTCGCTTGGCAATTTCTCTCCGGCCAGTCCACATTCTGTCCGACATAATGGCTACGTATGCAGACAAGGAAATAACACAACAAAGCATTTTAAGATGCCGCCCCGATAAATGTAATGGGACAAGCCACTACAAAATATGGCTTATTGGCTTCACTGATAATAGTCAAGTGTTTTGAGTGCTTTCAGCAGTCTGCTTTGTTGGCTCTAATTTGGGACGGTTCTAGCACCTTTCAGTTTGCGCTCTTTTCTACCCACTATTGATTCCCCTTCAGAATGTGAAGGCCCTCACATTCTGATCACAATCTCTTAATTAATGTATCCTGCAGCTCTTCCCCTGCCGTGGTCATCACCACGATAAGGGGAATTGAACACTCAGGTACCACTCTTCCTGCCTTCTTTTTTTCTTGTTTCTCTCTCGCTCCGCCCTGATATATTTTTTTCCATTCACTCTCATGGTTCTTTATTTATTTTATTATTTTTATTTATTTATTTATTTATGTATTTTATCTTCTCAAGCTGCATGTGTTGAGTCCTGTCAGGGGGAGATAAACATCGGGCTTGTGGTCATGCCATAGTCAGGCCATTTACATTCAAGAGAAAACGTCTGATGCACGTGGCCTGGTCAATACAGTAATCTATCGCCTGTTAATCAGACTGTGGCAGGTACTGTGGCACCAGCAAACTTGTAAAAGCAATCAGGGGCGGTGCTGGGGAGTCTAATATGCTGTCAGAATGAGCCGCCTGCAGGAACGCCTAGCTGGGGGAGGGGAGTCTGGTAATATGGTGAGTGCTTTGCAGGCCTGTGTATTTTATTGACAGCTAAATTGTAAAGGGAAATAAATGGATACCAACAGTGCCTTGCAAAAATATAAATATCTGCCGAAACTTTTAACATTTTGTTCCATCACTAGCTCACAATTCACTGAATTTAGTTGCGAGTTCATGTGATACACCTGCACAAAGTAAACAGAAAGAAACAATGTTGGATGTTTTAGCAGTCAGAGAAGCAGCCAAAAGGCCACATGGTGACTCTGGAGGAACTCCAAGGATCTACATCTTAGAATCTCTCAATAGAGCAATTGTTCTTTTTAGCACTTCATGGATCAAGGCGAGAACAAAGCCATTGTTGAAAGAAAGCCATAAGATGTCCCTTTTAAAGTTTCCTATCAGTTGTATAGGAGAAATACAAACATGTGGAAGAAGGTCCTCAAGCAAAATGATCATTTTGGTGTACATGCAAATATGTACACTTCGAGAAAAACACACCAAATAAATTTCCCCCATATTGAAGCATGGTAGTGACAGTGTCATGCTGTGGGGATGCTTTTCCTCAATAGGCACATGGAATCTGGTCGTAGTCGGAGTGGATTTCACTGTGCCTCTGCAAAAGTCAAGATAATCTCAACAGGACAACCATCATAAAAATATACCCAGTGCTAATTTGGAACAGATTAAAACATACTCATATGTTAAAATGGCCTAGTCAAAGTCCACACCCAAATGTAATTATGAGTCTGTTACAGGACTTGTTCTTTGATGTTGACAGCTCAAGCTAAATTCAAACTGACTCAACTTCTGCTGCAATGCATCAAAACATTTCAAATGTTCAAAGGACACAGTTTTAGACTTGCTGCTGATTATTCCAGCTAAATATTATTTCCAGTGCACTAAAAAATGCACATCACACTTTTCAAGTCTTTATTAGTAAAACAGTGTCAACCATATAAATCATTTTAATTCCACTTCCACTTTATGTATTATTTGACTCCGTATAAAATGTGGTTTAAATATTTTTGTAAGGCACTCTATATGTCTCCTTGCCCCTTATTTTCTTCCCCTCTTCCTTGATTCTCTTTTGTTTGAATTCCCCAGAGCTCATCTGAGGGGGACATAGCAGCTTGTTTTATTTGATGTTCTATTCTGAGCATATGTAGAGGTGTCTGGGAGGAAATGACAGTGGTTTGATGTTCCCATGCCAGTTTCAGCTCTCCCAGCTGCTGCAGAACGAGACCCTGTGTTTAAGCAGGTCTTCAGGCCTGATTTGAACCTCCTGATCCCAGGGCTATGGCTGTTTTTTATGTGTTTGGATTTATGTGCATACATATAGATGTCATGATGTCAATGTGCACGTCTGTTTGTTTTCTTGGTTGACACGTTATGTATACTCGTGCGCGTGGTTGTGTGCGTCCCCTCCTCCTGTTACAGCGTGTATGTCATGTCCTCAACCCTTCCAATATGAATGTGACTGTGCTAATCCCCCTAACACCAATAGAACAGGGGCAGGATACAAAGGGTAACCACATGGCTTTGTATATCTCAGACCTTTGCTCTGATTTACGGTCCTCACTTACAGTAAAGCCCACTCAAGTGCTCCGAGACAAGCTTCAAAGAAGACCTTCTACTGTGCGTTTGAAATTAAGCGCCTGTGCCTCAGTGTGTACTTTGAGCCAGTTTGGCTGGACGGATCATGTTTGTTTTCTTGATTAGCCACGTCCTGGTTGTCAATTTGCTAAATTTACCCGACTCAGCTGCTTTTCTGAAATAATAAAAAAAAAGTATTTTCTCTTCAAGCCATCTGTTTTCATGTCACATTTGCCCTCACACAGTTTTCGTCTTCTTTCTCAGGCTTCTCCACTCTCTCTCTGGGAGACCAGATGAGCTTACTGCAGAGCGCCTGGATGGAAATCCTCATCCTCAGCATCGTGTTCCGCTCTTTGCCGTACGACGACGAGCTGGTGTACGCCGAGGACTACATCATGGACGAGGAGCACTCGCGGCTGACGGGTCTGCTCGACCTCTATGTCTCCATCCTGCAGCTGGTGCGGAAGTACAAGAAGCTCAAGGTGGAGAAGGAGGAGTTTGTGACCCTCAAAGCCATCGCTCTCGCCAACTCAGGTGGGAATGGTGGCGCATACAGTCTATTAATTAAATTGATAAAATGCTTATATATAAGATTTTATTTTATTATTATTTATTTGTTGTGGTAAATAATGGTTGCTCTTTGCCTCCAATAGTTTATTGGCTATTTTTTTATTAATAATAATAACAAATAAGGTTGCAGAATTATCCAAACACACTCTAAATACTGTATTAAACAAAATATGTAATTAAACATTTGATTTTCACAGCAGACATTCTCTCTGGTTTTACCAGTTTTGAAGAATCGCTAAAATACACAGGCCTCTTTGTTAAAAAGTAAAGCAGGTATTACTTATTTAAAGTTCCTCCATACACTGATAAACTTAAAAAAGTAAGATGCAACTTAAATCAGCTGCAGTGATTCTATAGAAAAAATGTTGGCTTACCATAAATGTGGCACCAGTTATATTGCTCAAACATTTTAAAAATATTCTTTGTGCAGGATATAACTCAAACTACATAAAGTTATTTATTCAAATTTTTTTCAAAAATATGTATGTGATCCTGTGACTGCAATAAAATGTAATCAAAGTCAGTATTCCATTTCTCCATTCAAGTTATTTGTATTTAAATTAATACCCATAATATGATTTTAAATAGGACTAGACACCTTATAACAAATATAAAAGTCCTGCTGCATAATTGTTGATGTATTATTTTTCTTTATCACGCATAGTTTATTATATTCAGTGTGTTTACAAGACCCATTTTTAAATGACTAATTTTGAGAAAATCAAAAACAAATTTGATGTTTTTATTCTGTTAGCTATTGACAGCCATTGTTTTCTTTCAATTTATTGTATTTTTAATCAATAATATTTTTCAGTTTCATCAAAAAAAGCAAAGAGCTTTTATCTATATAAATACATGCAAAAATCAATTAAAATTATATGACTTATTTTTTAACGTTTTAAAATCTTAATGAGAAATATATTGTTGTTTAATAGAGTATATAACCACACTTGGACTATTACTTATTACATTTTTTGAAATGCAATGTGTTTTATTTTTCTCCTGAAATTTTGAGACACTTTTATTTTGAATGTCAGATAAAGATATTGAAAAAAGGCTTTTATTTCCCTTTTTTTGGGAGCTGAACACCTTCCTCGCACCTATTTCTCCTGCGCTCCCTTCTCTTTCCCCATCTCCATAACAGTAGCTGCAAGGCACAACAGCCATATGAGGTAAATTTAGCATTTCATTAGGAGCACGGGGACTGTCAATAAAACGTGTTAAGTCGAATGGAATGAATATCAGGAAGCGGTGGGCCTCGTTTGTTCCGATGCGAAGGCTGCATGGCGCTATTGACAAGGCGCCTTTTGAGGAGGCAGGACTTGTCCCGCTCTGATCAATGCGCGCCTGGGTCACCGGGCCTCTTTCCCTTGTTTTGTCCTAGGCTGAAAATGAAAATGCTGATGCAGGGACTTTGCTTTCAGACAGCAGAGCTTTTGGGAGGCAGGTAGGGCGGGGGGTGAGGCGGAGATGGGGGATGGGGGAGAGAAGAGGAGGAGGAACAAGGTCTCTGGGCGATCGCTCTCCCGGGGACCCCTCTGTCTGACAGCTGTGAAAATTCATAGCGATTGATTTTGTAATTAGCAGTTTATCAATTCGATCGACGTGGGCTCACTGATGGATTGCAGGGAAATTGTTTCTTCAAAGTTGTTTTTTATTCCACCCCCTCCTCCACTGAGCAAAGCGGCATGCGCTCTACCCTCTTTTCATTCCCATCTGTTGAGATGTCTCAATTGCTCTTTTTATTTCCCCCCCGCTGTAAAACATTTCATTAAAGCAGCTTTATCACAGAAATGTGTGTCTGTGCAAAGGTGTGAAAAACAGAGCAAAACATTGGGTTGATTCGTTAAAACAAACGAATTGGAGTGTGAACACGGCTTCTGCGGGAAAAAAAGGAGATAATTATGTCCCACCATAACCTCATCTGTGTTTTTTTTTTCTCCTTTTTTTGGGGCTTTTGTTCACTAACTCAACCCCTCCCGCATTCACTTTACAAAAACGACCTACTTCATTTTACCACTGTGGATTTGAAAACCGTCAGGGTGAGAAATGTCTCAAGGTCTTGGGAATACAGTTGTTCCAGTCAATGAATCTGGGGCGAAGCCTGAAATCTGTTTTGCCTTTTATTGTCCCGCGCGGTAAAATATGCTCTGCCAAGGTGAGACGAGTCAGGCGGCCAATGACACGCTGTCTCCTGAGTGCGAGGTGCCAGTTAACCGGTGAGGAAGAGTGCCACCCCAGAGCCTGCCAGAGAGAGACAGAGAGAGAGACAGAGAGGAGCTGGAAGACAAAAGCTGCGGGCCAAGAATAAAAGCCGAAAAGGAAAGAGGAGGGTGGGAACGTGAAGGGAACCAGTCAAAAGAAACCAAAATTGTATCAACATATCGGTACAATTGTGGGGAAAACCACAGGGTTGCTTGGCTGAAACTGTAGACTTGTCTGAAACTTTTCCGGAGGAGGAGAAAATCTGAGTATATGAGTATAAAGATAAAAAAATAAAAAATAGAGATTTACTTTAACAAATATAGAGGATCAAAGATTTATCATGAGGTGAAAATGTCCAATTTCCTTCAGATACTTTTGTAGAGTTAAACTTTAACATGGAGCTGCCCTTTTCCATATTTTGGATCCAACAGGAAGGTGTTTGATGTGGATGCTCACACCACAGATTGGGCTGAATTCATAATGTTGTTTACTGGAGGACAACATTGATTTTCAGTCGCAATGATCAGGCCCAAATATACACTCTGCCTACTTGATCAAATAGTAAAATGTAAAAACTATCTAAAAGGTGTGTTTTCTTCTTTTTTATTTCATCTTGTTAGGATTTTTTATTAGATAGACCAACACAGTGTTATGCGTAATTGTGAATTGGAAGGAAGATTATTTCTTGTTTTTTAAAACTTTTCACAAATACAAATCTAAAAAGTGTGGCATTTGTTTGTCTTCGGCTCTCTGGAGTCAGTACTGTGAACTACCTTTCATCTTTTTTACAACTACAAGTGGTTTTTACCATCTTTGCACATCTTCAGACTGACATTTTTGCTCATTGTTTTTGGAGAAAAGTTCTAATTCAGTCAGATTTAATTTCTGTAAAAATAATTGTTTTAAGTTGTGCCACACCTTTTCATTTGGGTTTAGGTCTGGACTTTGAGTCAGTCAATCTGACCTATGAGTGTGCTTTAATCTAAAATGTTTAATTGTAGCTTTTGTTGTGTGTTTAAGGTTATTGTCCTGCTCTGTCTCAGTCTTAAGTCTTCTGCATCTCCTAAAGCTTTCTTAGAGCACTGAAATGTAGAGTGTAGTTTGTGCCAGGTTATTTTTTTAACTCATATAGCATTTTGTAAGTTCACTTGTATCTCATCTGACCAGAGCAAAGTTTTCTCACGACGTCTTCCAACAGTGTCTTCCTTCTGGCCAATTTTTTCACAAACCTCAGATTTGTGTGGTATGCAAGTACAATTATTGGAAATGAATGAATTATTATATTTTTGATTTATTCCTTTTTTACATTATTTTATTATCTTCTGGGAGATACCCGTTTTATTTCCTGTGAGAAACAAACTTCTTGGTTTCATGGAAACAAATTTACATATAATCTGAGCCAGGGGCATGAATAATTTTAAGCTTGACTTTACCCTGATACTCGTAACTTGTGTAGCTAACAGCACTGAGCCTACTATTTGACTTTTTGCTATTATATCTCTACTGCGAGTCTGTCTTTATATATATTGAATTTACAGTCCCCCAATATTTTTAGGACTTTGAGCTCTCTAATGTTGTATTTTATTCCCTCTTGTCCCAGCAGACTCCATGCACATAGAAGACATGGAGGCGGTCCAGAAACTGCAGGACGCTCTCCATGAGGCCCTTCAGGACTTCGAGAGCAGCCAGCATCAGGAGGACCCGCGTCGGGCTGGCAAGCTGCTCATGACGCTGCCCCTGCTGAGGCAGACTGCAACTAAGGCTGTGCAGCACTTTTACAGCATTAAGGTGCAGGGCAAGGTGCCCATGCACAAACTCTTCCTGGAGATGCTGGAGGCCAAGGTCTGATTGGAGGTGGAGGGCTGCAACAATAAGACAGAGAGTGACTTGAATTGTGGCTGAGGGATCTCAGGAGACAGAATCGGCCATGTGGTTTGCAAAGCAGAGACTGACAACTCCTCCTCTTTGCGGAACCTTGGGACTTTAAATTGAAAAAAAAAAAAAAAACAAGTGGAAAACTTGGGTTATTAGTATAAATATAAAATGATGCAGATTAATTTAAAATATATAATAAATGCTATGTACAGTAATAATTTTCTTTTTGTAATTGTCAGTGGTCATGCTCTATATGAAGGACCTTCCTGCCCCTTTGCGTCTTCAGAACAAGTAGAAAGTTCCTAAAAAAAGATTTTGTTCTGAAGAAAGCAAAGGCGTTAACAACCATAAACAGACTTGTGTGTTGTTTTTTTGTCTGGACTTAACCAGGACATGTAAATAATTGCTACTTGGAAAGCTGAGTGTACAGTTCGAAATCCGACAAACTTGGTAACCATGTTTTCTTCTTCTCCTCCTGCAAAAGAAAAAAAAAGTAAAAAAAAAAAGAGAGAGAAATGAGGAAAATTTTACCTAAATGTGAACTCATCAATTAAATGTCCTTGGATTAATATACCTCTCCTGAGCAGTAAGCAGTGTGATCTTAGTGGATTCTTCTCAGACTGAAACACTTGCTGAATCCATGTTTAACCAACCTAGCATAGGCAGGTAAAATAGTCTTATGTAGTAATTCAGCAATAAGAGGGACTGTGGGAAAGCCATGCTTAATTTCCAGTGTTTCATGTGCTTTTCGTTGCTGCTGTTACCTAAAGACCATGCCTGTTCATAGTCATTTTCACCTATGTGAGTCACCACTTGTTCCCCTGTTGTACACTCATATTTCTCCTCGAGTGAAGAAGTTTGTGTTGGTGCTTCTCAAGCACTAAACCCCCAGATTCAGCTGTCGCTTAAGCCTGTGGAAATTGCTTCTTGACATGCAAATAGATGACCGGATTCAGTCCAGGTGAAAGATAATCAGCGGTTTCGGTGTGGAAGTTTCAAAGGATTTATGCTGGGTGGCAGAAGTCTATGAGATTCCTTGTTCAAACAATCAGAGGCCTATATGTCAACCACACTATTTTGGGCTCTTTAAGCCAGTGGGAGCAAGGTGTCCGGCATCTGCTCTCACCATTTTAGACAGCTTCTATCTTTTAATAGCGGCGCCTGCATTTATGGGGCTTCAGCTGAATGGAGGTAAATAGCAGGTGCAAAGCAAGAGTTTGCGGCGCTTCACACTGGGTTTATTTTTACCCAGCAGGGGAGTGTAGGGGATTGTCCATACAGCCTCTGGACCAGGAGTACAATGAACACATGGACCACTCCTTGACCTCATGTTGACACTGTGGCTGACGCAGAATAACACCCTTCCCGCCAGCATCCGTGAGAATCTTGATCGCCCGATCATGCACATGTGAACAGCTATGCAAGAAACAAAGTGTGCATGCCTCAAAGGGCAACGATGTGTCTCTGCAAGGTGTGATCTCTGGTGGGGGGAAAATGGTCCTGCTTCTCCCCGTGTTTAGGTCCATTACGCTAAGTGTGAGCAATGCTTCAGTGCCATCCGCCGCCCTCCATGTGCAGGGGAATGTGCTAGTAGGGAATGCTTATACTGCTGTAGTGATAAATTGTGGCTATGTCACAACAATATGATACTGTGATCAAAGGAATCCCTGACATTGCATAGGTTAGAGTTGCGGCTACGCTTGTGATATCAAAGGCTAGCGGCAATCGAGCGGTCAGCAGCTGCCTGAATGGCCACTTAATGGAGAATAACTACTCCCCAGATCATCCTACACCTCCCTACTTGAACTACCCACTGAACAAACGCTGCTGTAGAAGGTGAAATTTAAGTTGTTTAACTGTTGTGCAATACAACAGGGACCAATTCTGACTGAAATCATGCTAAGGGCATGTGTTTAGACAGCATATTCAAAATCTTTTTGATATAAAACATTGTAATTAGATTTCATGTGCACGTATTCCAGTTAAAATTGCAGTAAAAAGAAAGAGATAGCAAAGAAAAATAAATAAATAGAGGAATTAATAATTGCAACAGTTTTTCTCCTGCAAAATGGCACAGTATTACATATAAGACTTATATTATAGGCATGGGCCAGTGTGTGTTTCAACTTGAGTAGAAATGTCACCGTTGAAAGGTATCAAGGTTGTAGTAAAGCAATTTAAAACTGAAACACATGAGACGATCTAAATGTTTCCTGCAATTCCCAAATGTTTCCTGCAATTCCCAACTGTAGTTTTAAAATAGAGTTATCATAATAAGAGCCAGTTAAACTTCCACAACATTCCCTTATGGAGACTTTTAACTGCAGAAACAGAAATATGGGAACTTGCAGCCATATTGAGAAGCAAATGCTTATCGTGATAAATTGTGACTATCATAACATTTTGATACTGTGAACAAAGGAATTTCTGACATCGCACCAGTTATAGTGGCCACACAAGCCCATTTGTTGTTCATCCAACTCCCCCCTACTTGCACTTGCCACTGTCCAATGGCAGTGCTTTCTCGAAGGTAGTTTATTTTAATGTTCAGCAATACAGCAAAGTCACATTTTAAATATTTTTTCCTATATTTGAAATCATTTAGGTAAAAACAATGCAACCTTTAATTTGCACGTATATCAATAAAAATAAATTAGCTATTTTTATTTTATAGATGGTCAAAATTCTTGGGAATAGTTTTGAACTTTTGATTATTTTTCCCTGCTTTGTGACACAGCAGTAAGTGAAAGGCAGAACTGGCCTGTGTGTGGGCCAGTATAAGAGTCTCATTTTGAATAAAAATATGGTTGGTACAGATTAAAAACAAAAGTGATCACTTGATTTGAAACAGCTTGCCATATATTATTAAGAGTGATGGCTGGTCCATGCTTTCCAGAAATAAAATCAAACTTTCAATTCAGTCTTTTTTGTAAGTGTAAGAAAAACCTAAAAGGTGACTTTAGGCCAGATCATAGGTGGCGCTCAGCAAAAAGTGGGGGAAGGGCAGCAGTGCATTACTCTGTGCAACACAGAGCCAGATAAAATTCCGCTCAGTAAGACAATTTTCTCTGGCAACTAATTAAAATAACTTTAAACCATAAGAATGGTATGGAGGAACTTTTTTAAAAATCTGGATTGGAGTAACCGGCCCATGCCTACTTACAAGTTGTTTCTCTATGTGCATTGTAAATATAATAGCATCAACAACAGTAGGTTGCCGAAAAACTACTGGAGAATTAAGTATGCAGCGCCCTGCTGACTACTACCTCATCAACATATTATCAATGTTCCTCTGGTTCAACTTTCTGCTCTCATCTGTGACATACCTGAGCCATTATTGTTTTTATCAACCACCAAAAAAAAAATAAAATCTTTCAGTGCTCCTGCCAAAACATTTGTAATTGTAGTCATGTTTCTTCTTATCCTACTCATCCTTCACAGGCGTTTGTAAAGGTAAAGCATGCTTCATGTCGACCGTACAACTTTACCGTTAGGGTGGAGCAAAGTGGGTGTGTGTTTATAAGAGCATTGTTGTGTCAGAATTGGTCCCTTGAGAGAAACTGCAAACAGGGAGCAGGTAACTGATTTCCTGCATCTGTGTTGAGTATTTATGGTGTGAAATATATCATTTGGCAATGGTGTACATTGATATCTCTGATTGTTGAATCACCAATATCTGTGTAACTTCTGTTTTGATTTTCAAAAAGGTAAAGGATCAATGAATTAAATACACAATGAACTCTGATTTTTTTTGTGCTTTTACTGAAAATTTTACATCTGCATAAAATGATTTAAAATTTTATTTTTTTGTCTGTTCACGTCCAGTCAGAAAAGACGCACCAATTCAAATTTTTTCATCAATTTCTGTTTGTAAAGCTTTGATATGCCTGCATTGTTTAAGTATATTATGATTTCTTTTTAAGATCAGTACTATAAGAAAATCCATCAACTAGAAAATACTTTTTTAAGTCTTGCTGCTATGAGCAATCATTACCGGTAATTACTTAGGAGCCAAAGCAACATCATGTCGCTATAGAGCAGTAACTGTAAAAAAAGGTTTCTATAAATATATACAAAATGCTGAGAAAATAACAGATTTTAGCGTATTTTGTTATGCTGTAGCTAACTTCAACAGGACAGCTGACCCTGATTGAATGTTTTGGTAAATATAAATTTCTACCTTTATGCTCACATTTTCAAGACAGTCAGCATTTCTAAATCCATCATTTTCAATAACAGAAGCTGAGATCTAGGAGCAACATGGCTTAGTTTGGCTTAGGTTCTGCTGAAAGTCTTGCTCTTCTCACTATTTTCTTTTTTTGGCATCAACTAATTTGCTTATTCGACAATGTACACATTGTAGTGGGAGAAAATATGGAGGCAGAAAGAAAATATCGTGAGACAGACTAGAAAAAAAAAGAATGAAATGCAGGTTTCATCCATCGGTTTTATGTTTACTTATTTCTATATTTTTATATCAGTAACATCTGGTTTGGCTCTTAACTTTTTACATCCACTTTGGAATCTCACAGTAATAATCAAACCTGTGGAGGCTTAAGGCATTCATTTGCAGTCTGGATGCATTCACGTTAAGTAGCAGGGACTGCTGTGCAGAGCTGTGACAATCACAAATGAATCAAATCTACTGACTGGCTTTTAAAATGAACAATGTGAACAGAGATGTGAGATTTTCTGGCTTTTATTTGTTTTGTTTCAAACAGATGCACACAGAAGATCCTCCAGCTTCTCCATTGAGCGACAAGGAGAACAGGCACGAGGTGAAGACCACAGAATAATACACGTGCAGCTTGTTAGATACAAAAATATAGAGATAAATTCATTTGAACTGTTTCTTCAGGTAAGCGCTTAATATGCAGAAGTCTAAAAAGAATAAATCAGGCTTCATTGGATTTCAGTTCTGGTTCCCTAAAAGGACAAAATGTTCACACTGCAGCAAAGATTTTCATCCAAATATTAATGTGATTATGTCCTGGGTAAAGCAACTCAACAGACCTTGTTTGATTACAAATATATTTTTAGAAAGATGAGCTATTATTTTTAGCAGTTGTTTGAAGCAAACAGATCCACACGATCCATCTCCTTTCAAAGAGCTACACATTTTAGCACTACTGTTATGTGAAGATCAGGCCATCTATGAAAGCTTTGGGACCATGTAATAACCACACCCACTGCCAACACAAGACCACTGACATAATAATAGAGATAATGTATCACAATGTAGCTCACAAAGCATCAGCCAGGAGAATGAAGAAGGAGAATGTTGGAAATGGCTTCTTTTTATGATTCTTTCTGGGAATGAACATTTTCACAGCTCCGCCCACCGTTTCCATGTTGGTGGTAGTGAGTGAGGTGTTTGCTATTGTCTGAAACTTGCCTCTGAATTTGTACTTGGAGTCCAATCCACACGATCCAGCTCCACACAGGCAGAAATGTCGGCATAGGACGTAGTCCTACAGTAAAGTCCGTGTTGGCTTGCAAGCACACACATGCAATGTTATGCAATCCCTGATCAATTTTTGACTTTTTAAATAGCCAATCAAGTTATAAATCATCCTATTAACTACTACTACTTACTCATTACTCTGGTGGAGTAACTATTAACCTAATCTAGTCTTTTCCTTGGTGTAAACACACAAGCACACGCACACACACCAAGAGGGATTTCAGCAGTGGAAACAGGATCAAGAGCAGATCGACATTCCCGAAGGACTGTAGATTGGTGGCAGTGAGTGAGGTGAGTCAGTGAGAGATTCACCCTGGCCACCCAACCATCCAGCAATCAACCACAGCCACTGCTGGGCCAGGGACTATTGAAAATGGATCCGTCACAGGAAACAGGCAGACAGACAGACATGCTAACACTGATGGGGCGGGGAGGATATGGGGGGATGCTGCTCCATTATTTCAGGAAGCTGATATTCCAGGGAGTTAAAGTATTCCCTTCACTATATAATTATGACAGCCAATTTCCCTTTTTGAAATAATGTCTTGCCAGCGAATTAATTGTAATAATCCTCTTTGTTGAAACAATAGCATCATATAACAAGAAATTAGTTGAACTTAATGGATGAAGTGAAAGCAAAAGGGGAAACATCTTGAGCACATTGATGCCAAAAGCTGTAGATTTTAAAACCAATGTGTGGCTCGTTTCCCATGCAAATCACCCAGCTGGACCAGATATTGCCATCAATAAGTTTCTCACAGATACAGTAGAAGGGCAATCGTTTACCTCCCCTGACAGGTCAAAACGCCTTTCATTAGAGTTACGAGGCATCTCATCGAGATGCGTCCCCTGCTCGCAGCTGTACGACTGCTGCGTATAGCTTAAGTGTGTTTCATTATTCCCAAAGCAGCGTGATGATGGTGAGCGAAAGGATTACACGTCAGGGTGAATGATTGGGTTTGAACAGAGCTGCTGCATACACTTTGTATCAAACCCCGGCCTCAAATTACACTTAGGTTGGAAACGGAGCACGTAAATGCCCAAGAGAGCTTGTGGCACAGAAATGAAGAGTGGGCCACCATCTTTCTCTGTCTGCTCTCGCTCACTCACATGCATGCACTTTTCCTCTCATTTCCGCCGTCAGATTTTACTTTGACCTCTCGTATCACCGTTGCTTCACTTCCCTCGCTCTGCCGCTCCTTCTTTTTGAGGCACAACTGTTCTTTATAGGCATTCTTATTGTTCCACTGATTCTGTTATGTGTATTTATTGCTCCATTTGTGAAATTGGAGGCACCAGCTGACAAGCCTATTACTATTCAATAACAGAAGCTGGGCGTTTTCACAGCCATAGAGCTATCAATGTCTCGGACAGAAACATTACGTCACATCAATTTCAAAAGACAGACAGTTTGCAATATTGCATGTTGTATATTATATTGTAGAGGAAAATTTCCCCTTTCTTGGCAGAGTGAACTGAATGCAAGCAGTCAAGCAGTCTGGTCTTTAACAAAAAGTACAATGTTATGGCCTCAAGAATAGATCTGTCTCCTAATAGATCCTATTTACTCATGTACTATACCTCACCCACTAGTAGTATCCGAGCTAGGCATTCCCACACCTCTGACCCGGCCCAGACCTGATCAATACGCTGCCATAATGCCTAGTAGGCACACAGTCCAGGGCATCTGGGATTTCACCCTCTCATTGTTCATCATCACTGTTTTAAGTGCATTTATCAAGTTACACTCCTTAATGCAT